AAAAAAAAAAAAAAGGAGAATATCACCTCCCAACCATGATGATGTCCACATCTGCCATCTTCCCCATTCCCTTTGGATTCTCTTGACATCACTATGCCCCCACAAGAAGTCACTGGCCCACCCCCACTTCAGAGAAGGGCAAACTCACTAAGCCCCCGAGCAACGTACACTTTCCACCACAGTGACACCCCCACAAAGTAGTGCTCCCACCCAAACCCCAATATGCTATCTACCGACCCTACTTCAGAGTAGGCTGGGCAGGAAGTCATACAGGCCGAAGTAAACCCCCTCCTACTTCAGAGTAGGACAACCCCCAATATACTAATCCTCCCCTAACCCCGAGGAACATATACTTCCCACCATGGTGACACCCTCACAGAGTACTGCTCCCCACCCACTAAGTCCCAACATACTAATATCTAATGGCTGTGCTGCGCTAGGCTGGGCACCAAGTACATGGTGCCTCATACTAACACCAACTGAGCATGCCAGTGAGAGGATCAGGGAGGACTGGAATCGAACCCTCAACCTCTCTGTTGCTGGGCAAGAACTGTAAACCAACTGAGCTACACCACATATATATATGACTTGACTACACTCTTCCCCCGAATACAACGTACGGTCATTATAGCTGAATTTGGGATATCCTTCAGTCTAAATACAGCTATAATCACCGTACATTGTATCTGGAGGTAGAAGGTAGCTCCCTGCTATGATTTTCTCCAGTCCCGTTGAGCGCCAGTGGTTAGGGCATTCGCTACTCGACCATGATATGCCTCGAATACCTGCAGCCTTATTTTTTTTATTATTTAATTAACAAAAGTCCCTCCAGTGCTAGCGATGCTGTTTAAGACAGACATCGCTAGCACCTGGGGGGAGTACCTGCAGGCTGTAGCGTGTTTGGAGTGTATTTTCTGGGTATGAAAAACCTTTCCTTTGCTTCGTTGGGGTTTTGCTGGCTTATGATGGGGTGTGAACCTACATTTGTAGGGTCTTCTCCCTCTCGTGTGAGTGAGTTACAAATCTCGTTTGGCATTTGTCAGAGCTACCCTTGAGGGCCATTAGGGCACTCTGCAGACTTCAAAAGGTTCGGCTTCCGGATGAGTGGGTACAACTCCGGCGAAACAGTCTGTCGCAACCCCCTACCTTTCTGTCCGTACTCCAAAATGGAGGTTTTTTTTTTTTTTTTTTTTTTTTTTTTTTCCTTAAAANNNAACATATATTCCAAAAATATCAATCGAGGCCGGGGACCTCACAATTCAACCCGGAGTTATCCTGACAGCATCAGTCAGTTTAGCTTATAGTCAACCACCCGAGACCTCCATATCTCATAGTTCCAAAAAACAAATATCCATCCCTTGGTAATTCCATTCTATATCAAAGTCGTTTCACTACCGAACTCTCAACTACCGCTGAACAACCTCATTGGGCCAAAGTCTTCTCCTATTCTATCCTATACCACCTGGCCTAACCCTCTACTCTACCTATCCTCCCAAACTCTAATACACAGACCTATCCTCACGGTCTGACCCCGGCCTTCATTGACCGAGAGGAACCAAGGTTCCTTCTACTGCCTGGACACTCTCCTCCCTGCCCTACCCTTTGCGGCCTCCTGTGGTCGCCGACTGGAACCGAGTGTCCTGGTTCACATTCCTACCACTAGCCTACCTACTCTCACTTGTACAGCCATTTCGTCACCATCAGACCTCGGGTGGAGTGTACTCCAGCCAACTGATTCCCTTTTGCCCAAGATCTGAGGAACCACCAAAGTTGCCTCTTTGAGCCCCGCCCCCACTTGGCTTTCCCCCGCCAATCCACCCAGATCGCCCTTCTCAGACCTCTTTTGATGTTCGTTTTTATTTCCATGTCAGAGCGGGGGCGACCCTCAAACCTAGCACGGTTCCTGTCCCACCAGATAGTAGAACAGATTATCGCTCTTGCCATGTGTGCCACGTAGCACCAACCCTTTTTCCCGGACTGGTCTGATTCGACAAAACCCAGCAAAACCCACTGCTCATCCCACTCAATCCCTTCACCCCCGAACCTCTGCCAGTGGTCCTTCCACCACCTCCACACTCTTTTTGATGCTGGGCAGTCCCACCAGAGGTGCTTGGTGGACTCAAAGGGCCAGGAGCAGCGCGGACACTTCAGGGGCACTTCCATCCCACGACTGTTCAACCAAACAGCAGATGGCGTGACATACAGGGAGAGCATCCACAGGAGGCTGGCCTGCTTTCGATCTGGAATCAATAGAAGCGTTGACCACAGTTTGTAGAAATCGCCTTCCCTCCCCTGAAGATTAATGCCTAAGGCTGCCCCCCATCTGGCAATTGCAACCCCTGCTGGTCTTCTTTCACCTGTCAGATTATACGATTCTCTCACCGAGTAGTTAGTCAGGTCCATCCCCGCAGATGCTCTCTTGAGACAGAACCCCCTCTCCAACTCCATGTCCGTGGGTCTATTGCAAGCTCCCTCAGGGGTACTCTGCCTACCCACACAGTGGAGGTCAGTCTGCCTCTCTTGTCGAACGTTTGTATCACTCTGGNGATCTGGAATCAATAGAAGCGTTGACCACAGTTTGTAGAAATCGCCTTCCCTCCCCTGAAGATTAATGCCTAAGGCTGCCCCCCATCTGGCAATTGCAACCCCTGTTGGTCTTCTTTCACTGCTTCCTGTTAGATTATACGATTCTCTCACCGAGTAATTAGTCAGGTCCAAGCCCTGCGGATGCTCTCTTGAGACAGAACCCCCTCTCCAACTCCATGCCCGTGGGTCTATTGCAAGCTCCCTCAGGGGTACTCTGCCTACCCACACAGTGGAGGTCAGTCTGCCTCTCTTGTCGAACGTTTGTATCACTCTGGCTTCTGGCGGAATGTTCCAGAGACGAACAACTTCTTCACCTGCGGGAACGAGCGTGGTTGTATGATCCTTGATTACCCATTTCTGCACCTCCCGAAACCCCCCAGTAGTCAGACCCTGCATTCTCCAAACACTCTGTCCCTCCTCCGATGGAGGTGCCACGTACCACGTACCAACCGGATCCCTACCTTCTGCTTCCAGCAGAGCCTTCCACTGGGTTGGGATCGCTTGGATGATCAATTCCCAGTGTTCTTCCATGTGCCAGAGACCTTGCAATTTCGGCTGTAGGACCTCAAACCGTTCCCATGAGCCCAGAAGGGTCGACCACAGGTTTGCGATCCTCGAAACACCTCTCCGAATCCAAGCTCTTCCGAAGGAGCCCCGCGAGGCGTCTGCTGAGAATGGCCTTCCATCCGGGCCCACTATCATGGGGTTCTCAAACAGCCCCTGCCTGAGTACTTCCTCTCTCGAGACTGGGGGCGTCCTAATGTCTGGTGGGTGTTTGATCCATGCCCTCCTTACAGCCTCCCAAAACTCCGATTTTAATTTTCCCTTCATTAGGGAGTCTGTAAAAAAGCACAGCTAGACATCCTCTGGCCTGCATAGCCTCCATTCCCTCATCAGGATCCTTTCTGCAAAAAATATCCAGTCGTCCTTTACTTCAGCGATTGCCACCCGGGAGAGCCAATGTCTCAACTGTGCTTGATTCTTTCTTTGAGGGTCTATAAGGCCCAGACCGCTCTCATCCTTGGAGCATGAGATCAGCTCCCGTGCCACCTTCACTAGGAAACCTCCCTCTGCCAGTGCTCTAGGCTTCCATAGGAACCGAGCTACTAAACGTTTGATTTTTGTCACCACAGCAGCCGCCAGTTCCCTCACCGACCCCACGAACCAAAGTAAGGAGAAAAGGGCAACATTAACCACCAGAGCTCTTCCAAAAATCGAGAGATGCCAGGCTGGGCCCCAACTCTTCAATCTTGCCACAACCTTTTTTTGCAGGATCGCCCCCTGGGTAATACACATGGTTTGAGTGCTCACCACCACACCCAAAAATCTTTCACCTGTTTCTGGGTTTACTCTCTGCATTCCCCATTCAGCTTGCAACTCCCTACCTTCCGGTAGGATATATGTGGACTTATTTCAGTTGACCGATGCTTTAGACAGCAAGGAGTACTCCCCCGGCACCGACTTGACTGCCTCCAATGACTCCGCTGTGTTGGCCGAAATTAAAAACAGATCATCGGCCAACGCTTTTGTGCGGCAGTCCCTGTTTGCCGACAATGGTAACCCTCGGATTCGGGGCTGCTTACGAATTCGATTGAGAGGGACTTCCAACTGTAGGACGAACAGGAGCGGGGCGAGCGGACAGCCTTGCCGAAGCGATCTTGACAGCTGAAAGGTCCTGGAGAGGTGCCCATTGACTTGGACTGTTGAAGAGGACAGGGTATACATCGCAATAACCCATTTGCAGAAACCCTGCCCGAAGCCCATCTTCCGCAAAGTGGTCAGCACAAAAGACCAGCCTACCCGATCGTAGGCCTTCTCCATATCCAGCAACAGAATTGCCGGATCCAGGTTCTCCTCTTGTATCACTTCAATGCTTTCAATAACTGTTAGAATGTTCACGAAGATCGAACGTCCATGTACAAAGGCCCCCTGATCTCTCTCTACCAACTTAGGAAGTATTCTACCTAGCCGCAGGGCCAGCGTCTTGGCTAACAATTTATAATTGACATTCAAAACAGAGATAGGCCGATAGTTCCGGATATGGGCCTTATCTCCTTTTTTGAACATCACTGAGATGACCCCGTGGGTTATCGCACCTCCTAATTTCCCCTCTCCCAGCACCTCATTATACACTTCCACCAGCGGAGGAAACAACACGTCCCCACAGGCCCTGTAGAACTCTACCGTCAACCCGTCCCTCCCTGGACACTTTCCTGGCGCCATCTCTTTCCCTGTTTGCTTCAATTCCTCCTCCGTGATTGGTCTGTCCAATGCTAGCCTGTCTGTTTCCTCAAGAAGGGCTGCGGTGTCCTCCCACATGTTCACTTCACGTGACAGGTCCGTATCCACTATGTCTTCCGTCCTCCTGGTCGTAAGAATGTTTGCATAAAAGATCCTGGCATATTCCAACAACTCCTCCTGAGTCAGCGCTTTAGGGGCTCTCTGGTCAAAAGGGTGGTCCAACTGCACTACCTGCTGGAAAGAGGAGCTCGGTAATAGCTTGCGGAACGTTTCTCTAGTCATCCTATCGTACACCAGTATCCCCTTGACTTTCAGAGTCTCTTCCCATCTTGACTGTTTATCCAATTGCAGTTTCTTCCATTCCGCTGTTCTTGTTTCCCTTTCTTTCGCCCAAACCAGTGTTGAGATAGGATGCATCTCCATCTTTCCCTCAGCCTCCTCCACCCTCCTTCTACATTGCTCCTCCTCCTTATTACGATGTCTTGCCAGAATTCGGGAGCTGACATCCAATACTCCTGAGATGACCACCAAGCCTCCGTCTAACCAGTCTGCAGTGGAAGTGAAATGTGGCCTTGCTGAGCGCCATGAGGCCATCTGCTCCCGAACCCAGTCTAACAGCCCCTGATCTTCCAAATTCTGACTGTTTAGCTTGAAGTAGCTTCTTCCCCTTTCTCGGCCACCCGACAGCACCAGGTCCATCAGGACTGGTTTGTGGTCAGAGAGCGGATGACCGACCTGTCTAACATATGTCACACGCTGCACTAGGCCCTTGCTCACCAGCGCATAGTAATCCAATTTGTGTCTGATCACCGCCTGCTGATCTCCCTCCCCCCTGATGTTCGAGTACCAGGTGTACCCTGGTTCCTCCGGATTCGGCAACCGAAAGGGGTCCGACAGGTCACGATCCTGCATCAGTTCCCGGAGAGCCACATTGTCTCTTCTCCCTGCTGTGCGGGAGTTCCTGCTCATAACCTCATCTAGGGACAAATTCCAGTCCCCTATTATGATTAAATTGTCAGTTTCAGGAACGATCCTCCGCAAGCTTTGAAAGAATAGCCCCCTTTGGGTTGGGTCAGTGGGAGCATACACTGTCAGCACTACCTACTCTGTTTGGCCTGTGTGCAGTTTGACCCATACCCACCTCCCCCATAAGTCTGTTTCTGCATCCACTACCTCCGCCTGTAAATTCTTGTTTAGCAGAATTGCAGTACCCCCCCTTGTCCCTTGTGCTGGGGACCAATATTGCGGACCGTCCCACCATTTCTGAGAGGATTGCAGTTTCTCTTCATCCAATTTGGTTTCCTGTAAACCTATGCAGTCTATCTTCTGGTGGAACATCCAGGCCTTCACCCTCCTCCTTTTTTCCCTACCTGACGTATCCCCTAGACCCCACACATTCCAAGTGGCCAGCTTTAATTTAACCATTGACAACAGTTCCTTCCGCTTGATCTTGGATGCGGGGTTCAGAGTGCTCATCGGCCCAACTTGACTCTCTCCTGACAGGAGATTGGTGCATCGGGCTACGACCCTGACTGCCCCTTGATTGACCTGACTGTGTGGACGAGCGCCACTCATCCACCATAGAGTCCAGCAGGAACTTGGATCGAAGGTTCAGCGAGTCCGGAAGTTTTTCGTTAAGATGGAGCAGTATCAACGCTGACACCTCCTGAGTTATGGCGATGGTATCTAGCTTGTGGCTATTCGCTTCCCTTACTGCATTCAGGTTGAACCACTTCACCCCTACTTGAGTGAGGGATTCCGCAGTTTCCGTATCCAGGCGAGCGTCCAAGAGCGGAAAGTACAGCTTCAAGATTTTTGTCTCCAGGGGTACTGTGACGCTGGTCATTACTCAACGGGGGATTACCCTAATAGGGAAAGTGTCCCCGAACAGGAACTTCGTCCTTGTCAGAATCTCCCCGGGCAGGGGTGTTTTGTTTGTTAAAACAGACGGAAGGTAATGCCTGCCCTCCGCCTGCGACAAGCCCAGGAAGTAGGCAGAGCTCCCCGCCATGGCGCATACAATGGGAACCATTCTCTTCTCCACCGGACGGGGGTCTCTCTCCCGTTGGGACCTATAACCCCGCTTACTCGAGGTATCTGACTCATCCCCTCCCCTCCTCTGAGAACCCCCTGAACTCCCCGTTGAGGACAGTGAGTTTTCCACCTGCAAAAAACCCGGTCCCCCCAACCCCCGGTCATCTCCTACAAAGTCACTCCCCATCACAACCCACGACTTTGAGCTCGAGGAAGCCCCTGACAGTACTCTCATGCCTCCCCCTGTTCCAATATGTCCCCTTCTGGAATCGCCAGCCGAGAAGTAACCTCTGAGCTCTTGTGATCCTTGCCTTATTCGTCCTTGAAGCTGCCTGTTTCGAGTGTTGGCTGAGTCTGCATGAGGGGTTGGCAGAGGTAGCGTGCCTACCCCCCTACCAATCCTTTCCTGCCACCCGTATGCACCTGTTGGCACTGGGTGGAACACTTGGTTTTGGAGTTGGGCGCCTTGACATCTAGGATCCTCACAACCCTGACATGGATATGGGGCAACCGACAGGCCACCCTGCTGCTGATAGGTAGCACCCATAAAAGGTGGGTCTGGGCCTGGGACAGGGGCCGAAACTGGCCCTCTGGGCCACGCAGCCGGGTGTGTCCATGGCGCCATTACGAAACTGCCCGGAGGCGGGGGGCCAAGAGGCTGTCTTACCGCCTGGTTGTAATTGAAGAAGGCTGGGTACAACTCTTGATAACCCTGGCCCAGAGTCCGTGCGTCCCCCTCGTACTGCGTCCTCTGCTGCAATTGTTGCACTGCTGCTTGAGGAGCTGCGCTTGACTGTCCCTGGGTCCCAGGTGGTGCTGGTCCTGGGAGAACCCTGTCTAGAGGTTGGGTCTGCTGACCTGGTGGCTGCCGATTTGAAACTTGAGAAGTCGAGGCCTGATTAGGCCTTTGCGAGTTCTGCCCCTCCTGTTGACGTACTGGAGGCTGCTGCCGAGGTAGTCTGGAGTTTGCCCAGCTCCTCCTTGTACTTGACTCCGCTTGCCTTGGCCAGTCATCTTCCGTGTGAAAGTACCAACGACACTTTCGACACCAGTCAGAAAACGGCGTTGCCACTTGGACTGTCCAGAGTTCACCTTTTGGGGATTCAATAGATAAAGTGTCCTCCACTCTGAACCTTGTCTGCGGGTCCATGTCCAGCTTGATATTCATCAATTTGGGCTTTGACCTATCAGCTTCTGGTGGATGGATACACTTCACTCCTCCTATCAAGCCTTCTACCGCTGAGGGTAGATAGCACATGGCATCCAATGGTACCCGCAGCGCTAAGATCCAAAAGTTGGTTTCCACTTCCCTCAGTCTCAGCTCTTTAAGCTCCAGCTTCATCATCCACGGCTTTATCAGCACCGGGTACTCCTTCCCTCCGAGCTTTAAATTAATAGTACGCTTCTGGATCAACCATGTAGCAACTTCCACTGCCTTTGCTACGTAGGACACCACGTTCGGGCTTTCGAACTTCACTCTCCCCCTCCGAATGTTCAGATCGAACAATCGTCTGGCCATCCACCCATCTTCGTAGGCCCTTATCTGATCCTCCTTCACGCTCCTAGTAAGATCTCTGGCCTCGTCCTGAAAAATAAAGGTCACTGTCCTTTCTTTAAGCCATCTCTCCTTTATTGCGTCGAAGGATTCATTAACTCGAAACCTTTTGCCCCTCTCATCAATAATTACCTCCCCTACATTTTCCACCAGATGAACCACGCCCTCATCATATTACTGTCCAATAGATTGCCTCGTTCTATCGTCTGCTGCCCAAAAAATTATCTCGGGAGGGCAAGGGGGGGGAGATCTGCCCCTCCCACTCACTTCCCTCATTCCCTCTGCCTCCATCCGTCCGCCGTCTATCTTTGACTTTTAGTACTTCGCCAACATAGAGCAGCGGGCTAACACTCATCCCCCACACGTCTCCTCTGAAGCTCCTGATGCAACTACTGCTTGATAGGGGGGCTCTCCTAACTCTAGATTGATGACGACAACAGGCCCTATCTAGTCTCATCCGGGGATAGAGACCAAACCCGAGGCAACTGGATACAACTTTCCCCTGTCCCCCTGACTTCCATTAGGTATGACGCTTCAACTTGGAACAAAGGTCGATATGCCCTCCAAACCTCTCCTTCTCCAACCTCCCTCTTAGACGTTCGTTGGGTGAATCCCAACCTTGAGTCTGATGACGGCAATTTCTTGAAACATACCCTTGACTTCTCTACTTCGAGCTATCTGTGGCTCGTCTACATAGCCATCTTTCCAAGAAACGGGTTCTAGCTGGCTACCTCGAAAGAACTTCTCTCCGGACTTTAGTCGGTAGCCACGATGAGTGGCTATAGTGAGTTCTTCGTGCCCCGTCGCGATGGCGGGGTTGACGACGAGATAGGGCGCGGCGTCGACCGACTGAAGAACGCTAGGCAAAACCGTCGACCCGAGCCGGCACCGCTTCGGAACGGCCAGAATTAGCGCAGCATAGCGCGACCGTCCAGCTGCAGCGCCCCCTCTGAGGTTCTATTTTGACATTGTCCGCAATTGTTTTTATTTTGTTTTGTTGCATATTGTAACAAACATATTGGGCCATGTGCGGGTTTTTTCCCCCTCCCTGGTGTCTCTCTCTCTCACCGCCCCTGGGGCCTGGACCCATTAGCGAAGTATATTCTACCACTCCGTTCAGGATTTCAATCACGTGTGGCCTCGAGTGACGCAGTACGCCCGTCGAATACATGGATCTCGACGACCCGGTAGTTTCTGAGCGGGGACTGTAGAGATGCCCACCTCCCGTCCAATGAGATGTGTCTAAAAACAAACCAAAAAAAAACAAATTTGGACATGATAGCTGAGGCTTCGCGTGGGTGGGAAGTCTGAATTTTATGGACTCAAAAGGGGGGAGGTTGATTTCCAGACTTCGTTTTTTTTTTTTGGCTCTGAGAAATCGAACTTGAAATGTGAAATTCAAATATTGTGGTGGATCTGACAGGAATGCTTCCGCGTCTGCCGGATGGATGGCCTGTTAGAGGCATCATGAGATACATGGTGATGAATGTATCCCCATACTGGTTACTTGTCCATCCTCGTGGTTGTGTTCGTGGACACATTTTATTGCCACGGTACATCAGTATGAAGACTTACGTGAAGGAGATCGTACCAACCCATGAATTCGGGTGCACAGCTGTTCTTCATAGTTTTATGTGCTCTTTCAATTCATTTTAAATCAAAAAACCGATCCATTCATGCAAATAAAAAATTGCTTTGTCTTTTCCAAAAAACCATAAAATTGAGTCACACATCGCCGAATACTTCGCTAGTGGGTCCAGGCCCCAGGGGCCAGGACTCACTGGCGCCATATTACACCGTGGGACAGTGACGTGTGACACCCTTTTGGCATTTGAAAAATGGTTTCCGTATTTTTTTCAGATTCGAAAAAATCTCTTTCTACGAGTTAAAGAAAGTAAAATTCAGCTTAGGGTGCTCCCATCAGCCAATGGGCTGTGAGCCATGGAATCCGTCGCCACTTTTTACGGTGTGTGCTGCACTCATCCAATGGGCTGGGTCCTGTGAAGGTGGTCACTGTAATGTCATTATTGATATTTGGCAGTACACACGAATTTGTTTTTCTTGTCAGCCTTTTTTTTTTTTTTTTTTTTCAATTAAATGCTTTCATTAACAACAAATCATAACAGGAGGCCGAGGTCCTCACACATCAACCCGGGGTTATCTCGGCAGCATCAGCCGGTTTAGCTTACGGTCCCAGATAGGCTGGGAACCCTTTCACTCTTCATCTCAAGCTTCCATTGTTAATCTACTGGACCACGATGCATACCCTGAAAATTATACCTATACACTTGAATGATCACTAATACCAGCCACCTAATCTACAGCAGACGCCTAAGGCGGCAACCAGGTCTAAACGACCCGGTGGAATCCCCTGTTCCTCTGCTCTATAGACACTCTCCTAACGGAACACTGTGTCCCTACAAAACCGAGTGTCCTGGTTCCAGGCCTAGCACTTTCTAGCCTCCCCCTTAACGACCGAGTACCCAGGTCCCGTACACAATGGTTCTCCAGCTATCCTACTAACCTACTCCTAACCCAACCCCCTCTAATTATCATCTAAGCTTAACTATTCAACCACCTTGCGACCATCAGGCCTTGCGACCATCAGGCCGCGGGTGGTATGAACCCTCGCCAACTGGTTTCCTTTCGCCCACGTTCTCAGAAACCACCAAAGGCTCCTCCTTGGGCCCTTGCCACTCCTGGCCTTCCTACGCCAGTCGGCCCAAATTGCTCTCCTCAGTCCACTTTTAATACCTGCCTTGGTCTCTCGATCCGAGAATGGGCGACCCTCAAACCTGGCCCTGTTTCTGTTTGCCCAAATCACAGAGCAAATCACTGCTCTGGCCACATGCGCCACATACGGCCAGCCCTTCTTCCCGGACTGCGCATCCCCTTCAAATCCCAACAACACCCATCTCTCATTCCACTCAATCCCCTCTCCCCCTATCCTTCTCCAATGATCTTCCCTTCACCTCCACACTCTTCTCGAGGCCGGACAGTCCCACCATACGTGTTTAGTGGACTCAAAGGGCCAGCAGCAGCGGGGCCAGGTCAGCACCACCTCCATCCCTCTGCTGCATAGCCAAACTGTCGAGGGGGTGACCAACAACGACAACATCCACAGTATGCTTGCTTGTTTGAGGTATGGCAGTGAGAGCAGAATACTCCACAGGTTCACAAATTCACCCTCTTTCCCCTGAAGGTCCTCCAACAGGACAGCACTCCATCTTGCAATTGCCACCCCAGCTGGACTCCTCCCTTGTTGGTTGCCAGTCTGTAGGACTCATTGACTGTGAGGTTGGAGAGGTTTAATCCAAGGGGATTAGCCCTTGAAACAGTACCCCCCCTCCACTGCCATGCAAGAGGGTCTATGGATAACTCTCGCAGGGGAGTCCTACCCACCCACCTTGTAGATACGATTGCCCCTCTCCGGTTTCGAGTATGGATCACCCTCACTTGGGGGGGGTTCGACCATTGCCTGATAGTTTCTTCTCCCCCTGGAACCACCAAACCTGACGGCTCCCCCATCCTCCACTTCCGAACTTCTCTGAAACCGCAGTCCGTCAAACGTTGGACCTCCCAAGGCTCTTCCCTTCCTTGTCCTTCTTCATCTGCCATAGGGCCATACCACGTGCCTATCGGGTCCAGCCCTTCTGGGCCCAGCATCCGCTTCCAGTGATCCGGAATAGCTTGCAGCAGCTGTTGCCAATGTTCCTCCGAGTGCCACAGTCCATGCAAGGCACGGAGGATCTCACCGAAGGGTTTCCAGGTGCCTTGAAGGTCAGCCCACAAATCTGCAATTCTGGAAATGCCCCTACGAATCCAGGCTTTGCCAAATGCTCCCGGGGTTGATCCTGCAGAGAAGGGAAACCCCTCACTGTCTAAAATAAAACAGTTTTCAAACAATCCCTGCCTCAAGATCTCTTCTTTTGTCTCTGGCTGCACCTGGACTTCAGGGAGGTGACAGAGCCATGCTTTCCGTACAGCTTCCCAGAACTCCGAAGAGAGTTTCTTCTTCACGAAGGACTTAATAAAAAAGCAGAGCCAGACGTCTTCTGCATGGCTGAGACCCAAGTCCCTCATCAGAGTTTTTTCCGCCAGCAAGATCCAATCATCCTTACTGTCTGACATAGCCACCCTGGCCAACCACTGCCTCAACTGTGCCTGATTCTTCTGTAGCGGGTCGATCAGTCCCAGGCCCCCCTGATCCTTGGGATAAGTGATGAGATCCCATGCAACCTTCGACATAAACCCTTCATCTGCTGCCGCTCTAGGCTTCCAGAGGAACTTGGAAGCCAGTCTTCTGATCTCTGCGACCACTGCTGCAGCGAGTTCCCTCACTGTACCTACAAACTAGATAAGAGGGAACAGGGCCACATTAATGACCATGGCTCTGCCCATGAGCGACAGATGTCAGGCCGGTCCCCATACCCCTAACTTGGCCTGCACCGTTTGCTGCAGGATTGCCCCTTGTGTGATGCTCATTAACCGAGTGTTCACCATCACCCCTAGAAACCGCTCTCCGGTCTCCGGGTCTACCCTTTGCATACCCCAATCCACCTGCAATACCCGACCCTCTGGCAGCAAGTATTTGGATTTGCTCCACATTACTAAGGCCTCTCATAGCAGCGAGTACTTTGCCAGCACCTCCTTCACCGCGCTCATCGACTCCACTGTATTGGCTGAGATCAAGAACAAGTCATCAGCTAGGGCTTTCGTTCTGCACTCCTTGGTGGTAGAAACCGGTAATCCTTTGATCCGAGGGTGCCTCCGAATGCGGTTCATCGGGATCTCCAGCTGCAGCACAAAAAGGAGAGGGGCCAAGGGACAGCCCTGGCGCAGCGATCTGGAGAGGTGGAAGGAGTTTGAAAGGTGTCCATTAACCTGAACAGCTGAGGTGGCCAATGTATACATAGCGGTCACCCATTTGCAAAAGCCCTGGCCAAACCCCATCTTCCTCAGTGTAGTAAGAACAAAGGACCACCCAACCCTATCGTACGC